GTGCGGCGTACGGGTGCGACCCGTTTACATAACTCTCGTGTATCGTGTATATTCATTTATTTCAGCCAGCCATTAGGACCATGTAACGACTGTAGATGGGTGGCAGATGTGGTTTGAGCCGCAGCCCTTATTACAATCACGGTCAGAAAAGTACAGTACTCCCGTACTGGAGGCATTTAAACAAACAATGAACCTGTCCCGATGACACACGGTTTGTTACCACAGCGTACACTGTCAAACACAATCTGCTGTCAAACTACAACAGAACAAGACTGTATAACAAAACCTCGTAAATCTGGACAGGTTATTGTTTGCATAAAAAGGGTTCTCAAATAGAGGTCATATGCACTCCAGTAGAATAAACAATTAATTTGCAATATTCTGCTATTGACATTTGTTTGCAATACAATATCTTTATACGTACTCCAGGCACAAAGAACAAGCCTATGTAAACATTAAATAGATAATACATTATATAGTCAAGTGACCTTTCTTAACCATCAATGACAAGTAAATAGAACCACGTGACCTTTCATACAAAAACATAATTAATACAACAGTCATTTAATAACATCAAAGAAAAGTAAAATTCTCGTTTTGATATCAGCATTGTATGCCTTACATAAGATCACACAGTTACAAACAGTGTAAGACAACGAATTGGGATCCTTTCAGGTGTGTCTAATCACTGGAAAACATCGTCATGTCAGGTGTCCATATGTAAGTCCTGACTGACAGACAAGGTGCGTTACACATCCCTACAACAGCACACTCATGATGACAAAACAGCAACAATACATACCGGGAGTTGCGTCCCCTGCTGTTAGTAGTGTAAGGGACATATCGGTCCCACTCAGGTGCAAGTTCATGATTGCAATTATTTTAGATCAAAATCACTGGTGTCAGAATTTTATTCGTTAAAAAAGGAAATGATAAATTCGTAGTGAGAATAAATGAAAACTTATACATTATAAATAATAACTGCCAATTTCTGATCATGTATTTTTCATTTTTCGTTATTATCATGACGTTTTGTGTACACCGACCAAATGGCCTGAGTAATGAACAGCGCACGCTGGTGTGTGCCTGATATATACAGTTGCAGTGATATTGTTTCGCCTCCCCTGATGTGAAATGTACACCCTACCATCCCCCGTCAACACACGTATATCACAGACAAATGCAATATGCAACATACTGAGTGTATTTCATGAACTCTCACACCATATCTCATATTGTAACAACGAAATAATCACATAAACAAATAAACAATAAAATAAATGAAGCAAAAAATGGTTATATATACATGCCCAGTTTCTATTCATTTCTACCAGGAAATGCTCCTATCACAAAGATAACTTTTTACAAAATTACTTCGAAAACAAATTAAAACAACCATAGTTCATGTTCATGGCACACCTTTTCTAATTTCACAGACATGATCCATTTTAAATTACATGATTTTGTCCATGGCAAATTTCTGAAATCATATTCTCGTATACTTTGCAGCCTCGTGATGAACTGCGCATGTGCACTACAGTGATGACCAGGTACACCCTATGAATTAACGGTACATTACTACCATATAAAACTGATTGCCTTTAACCAAATAAATAAACTAATACAAGGTGGTGATATTCATAAGAGAACTGCATATCCCATGGATTTCAGTTTTCACGTAATTCCTTGATAAACACTCAGAGCACATCTCTACACAGATCTCTATTTCCAACATCGTAAACAAATATAAAAACAATTTTTCTCGTGTGGTATTCATGTGTTGTAAGTTGTATGAACATATAAACCTTAAATCACCTTTGGACGCGCAACGTGATGTTTATTCATGGTGTTTATTCAAGGAATTGCGGAATTCTGAATGCTAGAAGACATGACACGTTCAGTGCAAGCAGCACTCGCAAACACTTTCGAAAATTTCAGTATGACGGAATCAACCGAAATATTCCGACTGTTGATACGGAATGTTCAAATATTCTTCTCATGTCAAAGGAAAACCAGGCGATTTATTTATTATGGTTGAAGACAATTAAATTGGGTATTTCTATTCTTGACAATAAAATTCATTTCGAACAAGAATATATCAGTTTCTATTTTTTTCTCTCTAATTAAACTATATTCGATATCTAGAGTAGCCCTCGACATAACTGGAACACATATTGTACATATTGTTATCTAATTAAAAAATAACCGCTTTAAATATCAAATACAAATTTAAACTTAATGTAATGTAATGTATGAAAACAATCGGCAAGTACTAATGTAGACATCAAGACCAATCCCTGGGGCAGATAGCTGACAGTAGCGTGACCCGAGGAAGGTTTCGGATCATAAACCCGCTGGTAATCCCGTTTTATTACCTCCCTTGGCGCCCAGGCATAAGCTACTGGTTGTTTCTCTACATCAATATGTAGTGTTATTTGCAAAGCACTCTAAATATGTCAGGTGGCAGATAACTGTGGGGACGTAGTGAACGGTATAACATAGCAAGGTGGCATGTATTTGTTATCGCATTGTAACTTATTTCCTAATTAACCATTACCAGCTATGTACATCCGTCAAGTCATCAACCGATACATTTATCGATGTAATGAGAGATTCTTTCAATGAAATGAAAGCGTAAATTTAATGCTAAACCAGGAGGGGCATCCTTTGCGCATCATTTAACAGGCATGCGCAGTGTTTACAAATTCCGCCAATATCTTCCAACGGTACTTGACATACGATAATGTGCTTATCAGAATATCAAATATTTGAGGTTTTTCTTGACAGCTTATAGAGATGAACGTTCCCCACTTGGTATGCTGCACTGTAGACATGTGACCCCAGCAACCAAGTGATGTTTACTCCATAGAATACAACTTCAGGATAATATACAGTTCAAATCAATTTCTGATTTGATTGACAAACATGACATCATAAGCATGGAACTGAAACGTTTGCTATGAAATAAACCGTCACTGGCGTTATAACAAGGAATATACATGACATTATCACCAGAGTGGGATTATAACACAAGGAGGACTGTAATGACATGAGGCCAATGATATAACATGTGATATACCCCTGTGCACCCACGTGACTTCAAGGCAGAGATTACTGAACAGTCAATGAGATGCGTTTATGATGTTTATGGTTTTTTTGCAGTTAATGGCACGCTGTTGTATTGTAAATCTGAGTTGGAGACCTGTAGGAGGGATATTGACGGTAGGGACAGGGAGAGGGTGTGGTCGGTTCAGCAGAATGGGTCCCGTCAGGTTAAGGTAGGAGAGACGAAGATAGAGAGAGAGAGAGAGAGAGTAGGAACGAAGACGGGTATAGGGTATAGGTTGGGCAAGGCAGGGGCCAGGCCTGGGGAAGAGGTGGCGGTATAGTTACAAGGATGACGGGGTGGGGCAGGATTCTGTAAGCCCCTTTGAGTGTATAGCAGTCAATAGCCGGCTGATGGTAACACAGAACCGTTCCCCTCTACAAGCTTCACCCCCTGTACATACATGTATTACGTAAACCACAGGGGCAGACATGATACACAGTGGGTAGCAGTATACACACCTCTGACTCCAGGTTCGGGCGAGAGTTTACTCAATAGTCGAATACACCATTAGCGGCAGATGTTGTTAGAAGGCCGTCGACGACGCCGATGCGATCACAACTTCTAAGCATATACAAGCGATAAGACAAGATCGCAAAGTCGACAGTATCAAACTACGCATTTATTATCAATATAAGACGGTCGTTCCACAAGGGGCCGCTCACTTTCCTCATCCCAAGTCGACGACCACGAGGTCTCACGATAATCAACTGCCATATCCTTTCCATAGTGTCAGGCTGATGAAGGTCTGAGATAGGGGCTGAGTTTACCCCAACACCCCCAACTTCTTCCCCTCTGTAACCCGAATCTCCAGTTCTGTCACTACGCTTTTGATACGGGCGTGTTGTGTCGACGTCCGCATGAGATACACACTGTTTCACGTCATTACAACACGAGGAAAGCCCAGAGCGCCCCAGAGTAACCCCGGCCCTTGCTGAGAGTTATCGGCGCTAAGTCTCCCCAGGTGTGCAATCACCGCCTAGCGGAGGGGGAGTACGTAGAGCTGTAACAATCTAATGTAGCTTAAACGTCTTCCATTGCAACTGCAAACCTGGAACTCCAATCAGACAAAAACGTTCATTCTCAACACTGCTACACGAAAAAGCACTTACGTTGATGAAATATTTAAAGAACGAATGATTGTCTTAAAATTACAAAACGCTATGTTGGCGCTAGGAAACTGCTTACACCCTCCTTGGGGGTACTGCCAACAGATATACACGTGTAGTTGAGTATCGGCTTATGCAAGAGGTATTCAGAGGCGTGATAATGTAACACAAGAGCTGCCAATGACTTTGAAACATCCAGGAGTGACGATATATGTTCACAGGGCAGTCTCTATATAGCATAACTTGACATCATATCAATGGAATATACTACTCAAACAAGTGAAGGGCCATCCGATTCATCTATAGTGCTTCAGTTAATCTGTTATGCCGAGACAGTTTAACGAGTTGTATGGAAGGAACAGGGGACACTTCACCTTTCTGAGAAGTGCATCACAACTATCTAGCTGCATTTATCCAGGAATATAGCCAGACAAACAGAAACAAAAGAAAATAATCTAAACATATTCGTTTTTCAATCAAAAGATGAAATTAAAAAAACACATATAACACCCTATCGAATCCTCAACTCGCCTAATGCACACCCGTCCATAGCTGGCCCCACCCCGCGTAATGCACACCCGTCCATAGCTGGCCCCACCCCGCCTAATGCACCCGTCCATAGCTGGCCCCACCCCGCGTAATGCACACCCTTCCATAGCTGGCCCCACCCCGCCTAATGCACACCCGTCCATAGCTGGCCCCACCCCGCCTAATGCACACCCGTCCATAGCTTGCCCCACCCCGCCTAATGCACACCCGTCCATAGCTGGCCCCACCCCCGCCTAATGCACCCGTCCATAGCTGGCCCCACCCCGCCTAATGCACACCCGTCCATAGCTGGCCCCACCCCGCCTAATGCACACCCGTCCATAGCTGGCTCCACCCCGCCTAATGCACACCCGTCCATAGCTGGCCCCACCCCGCCTAATGCACACCCGTCCATAGCTGGCCCCACCCCGCCTAATGCACACCCGTCAATAGCTGGCCCCACCCCGCCTAATGCACACCCGTCCATAGCTGGCCCCACCCCGCCTAATGCACACCCGTCCATAGCTGGCCCCACCCCGCGTAATGCACACCCGTCCATAGCTGGCCCCACCTCGCCTAATGCACACCCGTCCATAGCTGGTTCCACCCCGTCTTATGCACACCCGTTCATAACTGGCCCCACCCCGACTAATGCACACCCGTTCATAACTGGCCCCTCCTGCCTAAAGTACACCTGTTTATATCTGACCCCTCCCACTCTTGATTTGAGCGACACTGGCTCGCATTTTATGACCCAACTGGCCAACCTGCTGTGCCACCTGATATGGCGTGGTATGACTCTGACAGCCTTGTAACACCCAGATTGCCCTGGCAGGTCCCACTAGGCTGTGTACAGTGTTACCATATTACAGCAGTGCGTACAGTTCGCCATGCATCCTGTACATATGCATTTGATTCATATGATAATTTCTACTAAAGACTGTCTATACTTACGAAATGTCCTTTAGTGTTTGGAAGGATGATTCTTTTTCATGTTTCACCAATTACACCTAAATGTTTCATCTGCTAATGTTAAACTGATAGTTGTGCTTTTAGGTTCATGAAACTTTCTTTTTTCTAAGCGATATTATTATTTTCACATTTTAGAAAACTGGCTTAAATTTAAGGTACTACATATATTTCATTTTTAACACGCCAGCATATAATATTCAATAGGATTTGAGACTTCAAAAATACAAAGCTGCTGAATTGTCGATATATAGGTTTGTTTATGTCATATGTTAGAGACTTTACTGTATATTTCTTGCTGTTACTTCCCGTATGCGAGAGAAACAATCCCAAAAGACTTCCTATGTGAAATTAAAAGCCGACACGCTCAAAGGAGACTTAAGTATCTAAGTGCGTGAAACTATCAGCATTTATCGGAGGAATAAAATGAGAAAGTCAGATAATTAACCAGCCGATGAACACAGCGATAACCCAAGAAACATTACGTGGGTTTATGTTGATACAAATATCCTAATTGGCAAAAAAGTCACCAGTAACCCAACACTGCCACTTCCTCCACCTCCAGCTCGTCCATCAGCTTTTCTGACATATATATCAAAATTAAAATTTCTTCATCTCATAAATTGTCCCTATTTTCCGCCACATCCCCTTTGTGATAACCCGGACTAAGTTGGTTGATGACGGAACTCTGTATACCTTGTCAGGGAGAGGAAGGTCCACACGCCTCCATGTAAGAGGAAATTTATATACGAAAAATTCCATGTCTCTTATCCACAGCGTGTACGTCTAGCCAAACATGAGATCGTGTTCGCGCATATATCTGTCCAATTGGTCATGTGCTGCTTGTGTTACCACTAATCTTTACATAGTCTTTGAACCTGGTCAAACCGTTTAGACAAGTTAAATGTTTGCAACCCTCGCGTCCACGAAACGTGTGTCCCCTGGTGTCTAGCGGCTCACGGGAGGGTCGGCTATATGGTATACTCTTTCTTCAAGCTGGGATCGGTCTGTGCACATGATCAGCGCGGGATTAACCCTGGGAGGATTCAATCAAGACACTGAAAGGTGTTAAATGTTTAAATAGACAGCGATACTAGCGGGGCAGCTGGTTCACTGATCTCGCCATGTTTTTGTTGATCTTATCTGGGTCAACAAACGAACTCTAACCACATTTCACATCACTATCGAAATGGTTTTCAGCACGAAATTAATATAATGGCTAATATTTCGTGTGTTGAATTAGAATAAACTGAAATTAAATTTCATATAAATATATATAATCTTACATACAACACTGCCGTCCCATATCAGTTGACTAGTTAATACGGTTACAATTTATGTTGCCCTCAACATTTCTAAAACTCTGAATAACTTCATAATGTATAGTTTAAACGTTAGTGGTTGGTGTAACCCTTCATCTATATCTTTGACATATATCTTCGTGTGATACAAAAACGTGAGCTGCATACACGTAGAAACATAAAGATACAAAGTAAGACCCATCATTCATAATTTTCTGTTGAAAGTAACATAAATATTTCAAATTCACGACAGGAGTCATCTGTCATTGCTATCGCACCCATCCCATACATACCCCGACACCCGTACACCTGAACCCCGTCCATCAGCTAAACCTTGACAGACCGTTGTAAACACATGTATGAGAGACAAAACAAAACTATACAGCTTTGGAAAACTTGTAAAAACGACTTAATCGTATTATCTATTTTCTTACAAACTTTTCCAAACTTTTATAAAGATTTTGATTGTGAGAGGAAACCCCCGTGTCAAACATCAAAATAAATCAGGTTTTATTTGCCGGGCTGCAATATTCACTTCTCAGAGGCTGATGAACAGTTTACTGTCGTAGTTGTGACAATGGATAGAAGGATAAGTAGCATTATATACTCATGCCAATAATGGTTGTCACCCCCCTCCCAACCTCAACCCCCCACACACCTCTTATTGCCTCAAAATAATGTGAAAGAGGTCCAAGAGGTATTTTATCCCATCTAGATACGTTGGACTTATCAGCGGCTCTTCATAGGCTCTGCAGAAACTCCTAACCAATCACATCATATACTTATAGCGTAGATTCAGTAGGGTGCAGGTATCGCCACATACTGATTGCCATCCCTATATTTGTTACCTATGTCTTGGTGCAATATTTTTGCGACGTTTAAGCCGATGCCAAATGATTGAGAATGCGACAAGAAAGTGCCATGTCCCCAGCGTTGTAGATGTGTGGATATTTTCAGTTTCGTTACAGTCTGTTCGCAGTGACAACATACCGATGAATTTCACTTTAAACAAGAAAGTAAATCAAATAAGGTGAAATTAAGATTGCGAATCCTCATAATTTTACCTTGCCAATTGAACATTTGAATCTCAGAATTTTATTCAACTTAGGATAAAAAGTTGTTTAACAACGATCATAGATTCAAATCGCTATTATTGGTTTGTATTGCAAGGGGGTAAGTGCAGTTGTTGGAACACTGAAAGAAATGCACGTGTGGTACGTGATGAGCGTTAACTTAGACCAACTCTACTTGTTCTCGGTGTTTCATTTAATGTGCACACACCCTTGTAATACAAACCAATAATAACGATTTGAAACTAAGATCGTTTGTTAAACAACTTTTATCCTAAGTTAAATAAAATTCTGATATTTAAATGTTCAGTTGGCAAGGTAAAATTATGAGGATTCGCAATCTTAATTTCACTTTATTCGATTTACATTCTTGTTTGAAGTGAAATTAATCGTACGTTTTCACTGCAAACAGACTATAGATCTAGGTAGTGGTGCCATGTTTTCACTACGTTTCATCTCAAGCAAAACTACTAAACTATATGTGATGCTTGTAATCATAAGAATATTGTGATAATTACGTTTGACCAGTGGTAATTATATGCAAAGGGATATCTATGGTATGGAATAATATACTCCTTGGATGGAACTGCCCTTGTAAAATAACATTCCGATCAGAGGAAAGTATACATACACATTTGATGGTGACCAAAATGAAACAAACAAAGTTATTGAATGGTGCTGTTTTGATAACATTTGTAAGTTTGACCGGAAGTTCAAGCGCACCATTCACCTTTTCTTTTGAAAGGATTTTATTTGAGACAAATATCTTTGAATTATCGACAGAATTAAACAACTAGTTGAATAATGCCTATCCACGGTAAACATATATCATATATGAAGTCTATATCCTGATATTAGCACTTGCCGATGTTCATACATACAATTTCAATACTATTCCCTTCTGATATTGATCGCGCAGATGATACAGTAATAGAGCAATCTCCTGATGAGAAACGAAATCTGACACAGATAACGGAAGATGAAATACAAACCCATAGCTGTCTGGCATGAGGAGCTGAGGCATCAACACAAAGATATGTTTGGACAGACTGCAGTGTGCATATGAACGTTCCAATCTTAACACAGTCGAGATGTGCAAGTTGAGATGCGGCATACCGTCGTAGATGTTGTAGGAAACGCTGTCAACGACGTCGTCTACAGAGGACATGTGAGGACGAGAGTCTATTCTGTACCAGATGGAATGTAGATGTCCCCATATGTCCTCTGTCCTCTGACGTACATAGGCAGCCACAGAACCTGACGGGGGAATGCTGTCCCCCTCAGTGAAGAAATGATCTGTGTTAGAAGAGACCGGGACTCTTCCTCCTAGTCGTTTGAAGTTCTTCAAAAGGCAGCACGGTTTGTTGAACATAACGGTCAAGAGATGCTTGTCAGATAACTGGTTTCAGGTTTCTAAGAACACGGGAACAACGAACGGGTAAGCAGGACACATCCATTGGCCCAGCAGTGTTCCTGGAAACACCTGTTCCTTTATCGTCTCCCGATTATAGTACGAAATCGTGAAATATTACATTTCTCAGGAAATCAAGTCCACGTGGAAGCTGGCTGCATGACGTTTCCAAGTCATATGTTCGTCAACATTCACACACGCTCGTTCAGTATGGAAACAAACACAGCATGTTGCTCAGTAAATGGAATACACCCGTGGCATTAGGTTTGGGCCCGACACTGTCCACCGTCTACACACCACTCATATTCATGTTGCGTTCACGGGTCAAAACCTTCAAAGGAGATCACGTTTTGATGTACACGTTCGTGTGTATCAAGTATGTACTGGAAATACCGTAGATGGTACATCTTCTTATTGACGTATGGCCGGCAACCCCAAGAATCATATTCAGATAGAAAAACTCGCGCACTTGCTCCCCATTAGAGCTGAAACACCTGCTTGTCACAGACGCAGACACCCAGATGGAAGAACACATTGACGCATCCGTAGATCTCCCTTCCAGTTCCCGTGGGAGATTCTCCAATACAGATTCTCTCTCGCTGCCGGCGAGCTCGCAACACGGAACGTAGTATAGCATGGTGTTTCCGCATTCCATGTCAAGACATCCTCCCCGAATAAACAGCCGGGTCTCGTTCCTTCATTTCATATAACCTTGTTCTATCTCTGTTGGATAAGATAGGCACCGACTTATATGATGCCGTTATTACCCTGCTGAGAAGCGGGTGTTATCACTGGGGATTAAGCAAAGCGTCCCGTAATAAGAGAAACACGTCCCGGTAGAAGAGCAAGGATGTATTCACAACAAGGAATAGAATACCTGAGTTGGACCTGAAGCTGGTACTACCAGAAGAAGTCACTTCACTCTTGCCTGATACCGTGTAAGCAACTCTGGGCTGCTTGTTGAAACATAGTCTCTCAGTGTTGTCCTTCAGAGTCTGGCAGTTGTAGTCCTCAGTGCCATCACATTCACAGGTCTGCAACATCTTGGAGCTAGTCTGGCGGTACAGAATGTCCAAACTGTTGTTACACCGGGCGCTGCAGCTCTCTCCATTGACCAGCTTGGCACAGTGGCGGATGTAATACTGCAACGCTGCCAAACACGACGTGTCAGCCTCACAGATCCACATTGCCAGTCCGCAACTCACGACAGCATTGTCCTTCATGTTGTTCATAAATTCCATCACATCCTTAGCGCAGATCTCAACTCGACGCTTCTGAGTCTCACAAAACTCGTCGTCACTGCAGTTACAATTGACGAAGGCGATTCCGGACCGATCTTCCGTGGAGAGGAGCGAGATGAGTGCGTGCTTACAGTCAGTGGTACATGTGTCAACAGTCCCTTTGATGACGTCGCTACACCCGATCATGAAGTTGTTCAGTGCCATCTGACAGCCTATTCGAGAGAAGCAGTGATTCCTGGCCTGGTCGCAGAACTCTGGCACCCCAGGGGAGAAAATACAGTGACTCGTCTGGATACACATCGCCAGCAGACACAAGTCCCAAACATGCATCCTCCTCAATGGCCTGTTTTACTCGGGCACGGGGTCGTTGTTGATGTTGTTGTTGTTGCCGACTCCTCCCCGGGGCTTCACTAGGGTCGCTTCCCCCTCCTGACACAAGTCCCATCCCCACGGGAAGCTTCTGGGTGCCGCTTCTCGGGACGCCGGACCAGAAGGTAAACAGGGAAATGAGGCACAAGCAGACGACAGTTCATACATACGCTAGTAGCCGGCCAGTCCTTGCTTGTTGGTTTTAAACTCCAACTTCATCATCATCCGAGTTGATATCACGTCCCACAACCGCTCATCTCACAGGCATACTCGAAGGCATCGGCGAATACTTGTAAATATGTACGCCGTGTTCGCACAAAGGAGCCCCGCGAGTAACGAGTAAGCTAACTCTACTAGCTTTCGAATCAAATAACCGTCTGCAATGCAATCGGCACACTGAGTTGACCCGCTCAGGCTTCTTCCATAGGCTATTTTTGTAATACGGAGACTTCCATGTCATAGATACGCCTAGAGGGAGGTTTATAATGCTAGCCCACCCTCCCAACATCTAGCCAATGAGAAGATCAGATATACATGAGTGACGCCGGCTGACAGACAGGGACCGCGAGCCAAACATCGGTTTCATCGCTAATCACCTGATAAAATGCATCATGATTCGGGACGTTGAGATGTGAAGTAGAGGAAGTGTGTATTCCCCGTCGTCCCACACTGCTAGACTTGAGCAGGCCGCTCGTACGGCACAACGTCGTTTATGGGCGACGCGCAGCAGGGCAAACCACATAACCTGTCCCGAAAATTAACTCAGAACATGATATATTGGACGCCTCTTGACCGAGGGTTTACAGGAAGGGGAGACTGGAGTTTCGGGGATTGGGGAGGGAGAGTGTGTCTGTAGGGGGAGGGGTATCTACCGGTAGGGAGGGAAGGTACACAGGTAATGAAAATCTGACGGAGTTGCTTGTGGTGCATGTAGGATATGGCTTCATGTTTTATTACAGCAGACCCTGTCTAATCCGACATTCTGTCTAATCCGACAGGTAGGTGTGAACCAGGCACCCCCCGATATAAAAGACACTGCGAAACCTGTCGATACAAACACAACATTCAGTACACACTCTGTTTTGGTTGTTTCTGAATGACACTAGAGATTCACATAGGGGAGATGGATGTCGCCTTCCGCAGTATGAGGAACACAGCGTTTAGGAGTTAGTGCTGAACTTACTGCTTCATCAGGCGGATGAAAACTTCACCTGACGCAGCAGTAAGCATGTACTCCGATTACACAGTCTACTGTACATGGTTTTTTGAATTATATTAAAAAAAACCAAAACATGCCTGACGGTCGAAATATAGTTGTAAAACAATACTAGTATCGCTGTATTTGTATCTTTGTAACATGAGGAATGCATCGTTTTATTGAGTGATGTGCTTGTGGTTCGACTCTACGTCGAGTATCCACCTGACCCAAGAAGACAGGCCCCATTCATGTAACTGTAATACTGTAATGTATTACAGAGACCTTCAAGGTGTGATACTTCTTGAGCCGATAATTCTTTACTAAAACCTGAAAAATGGTTAACATCGTACTTCGCGACGCATAACAAGATTTCGTCTTGGGTTTGCAAATCTATCTACAAAGTGTGCACACCGCTTAATGACGAGTTCTTGTGGGTGATTTTACTTCCCATTTAGCATATATTCGATCTATAATGTTGAGAGGTGGGTTTATATCGGCGTGTTATCACACCTTCACCACTGCACATCGACCGACACTATATGATTTTCGTGCAACTGTAACAGGGTTGCCATTGACATCCAGCATCCAGTTCGACTACCTTCCACCAATACAACATCTCAAGCTACCACACCTCCATCGTAGACTGGGAATAGGACACGAGATATAAAGGTTTCTGAACATAATGTGTCTGTTTAGGTTAAAGCGCGTTTTGAGACAGTCACAGCAGATACCACTACCACCACTACTACTACAGACTCAGGAAGTGTATATCAACTGACGATACAGACTCGGGATGTTCATATCGTCTGATGATATAGACTCGGGATGCTCCTATGATCTGATGATACAGACTCGGGATGTTCCTATGATCTGATGATATAGACTCGGGATGTTCCATATCGTCTGATGATACAGATCGGGATGTTCATATCGTCTGATGATACAGACTCGGGATGTTCCTATGGTCTGATGATATAGACTCGGGATGTTCATATCGTCTGATGATACAGACTCGGGATGTTCCTATGATCTGATGATATAGACTCGGGATGTTCATATCGTCTGATGATATAGACTCGGGATGTGCATATCATCTGATGATATAGACTCGGGATGTTCCTATCATCTGATGATATAGACTCGGGATGTTCATATCGTCTGATGATATAGACTCGGGATGTTCATACTCATCTAATGATATAGACTTGGGATGTTCCTATGATCTGATGATATAAACTCGGGATGTTCATATCGTCTGATGATATGGATTCGGGATGTGCATATCGTCTGATGATATAGACTTGGGATGTTTCTATCGTCTGATGATACAGAATCGGGATGTTCATATCGTCTGATGATATAGACTCGGGATGTTCCTATGATCTGATGATATAGACTCGGGATGTTCCTATGATCTGATGATATAGGCTCGGGCTGTTCCTATCATTTGATGATATGGACTCGGGATGTTCCTATCATCTGATGATACAGACTCGGGATGTTCATATCATCTGATGATATAGACTCGGGATGTTCATATTATCTGATGATATAGACTCGGGATGTTCATATTATCTGATGATATAGACCGGGATGTTCATATCATCTGATGATATAGACCAGGATGTTCATATTATCTGATGATATAGACCGGGATGTACATATCATCTGATGATATAGACTCGGGATGTTCATATTATCTGATGATATAGACCGGGATGTTCATATTATCTGATGATATAGACTCGGGATGTTCATATTATCTGATGATATAGACCGGGATGTTCATATCATCTGATGATATAGACTCGGGATGTTCATATTATCTGATGATATAGACTCGGGATGTTCTGATGATATAGACTCGGGATGTTCATATCGTCTGATGATATAGACTCGGGATGTTCATATCATCTGATGATATAGACTCGGGATGTTCATATTATCTGATGATATAGACTCGGGATGTTCATATCATCTGATGATATAGACTCGGGATGTTCATATCATCTGATGATATAGACCCGGGATGTTCATATCATCTGATGATATAGACCCGGGATGTTCATATCATCTGATGATATAGACTCGGGATGTTCATATTATCTGATGATATAGACTCGGGATATTCCTATTATCTGATGATATAGGTTCGGACTGTTCATATCATCTGCTGATATAGACTCAGTACGTTTATATCGTCTAATGATCCAGACTTGAGATTTGTAGTGCAGGAGGATAGCTACATGATGTGTTCTGTAAGAGCCTGTCCCAGTCTAGCCCGCAGATTCCCCACTTATCTGCACCTACACCCCTGGTAAGTAAACAGTGCATGTATTCGCGTGTGTCAGTCTACTTGACAGCACTTGGAGTAGTAAATACATACTCTTCTCACTGTTGAGATTGTCAAGGTTATCTGCTTCTCGATGGACCGGGTGGAAGCACTTAGATATGTGACAGGCGCCTGGACGGGTATATCGCTCACATCACCTCGACAATATCCGAGAGTGTGATGGGTTGTTTTTCGTGGAATTAACACGCAACCTGATCTGAATTCTATATCGCGTGAAACACGTTTCTGATTCCAAGTGAGTGAGTGAATGAGTGAGTGAGTGCATAGAATAGGAATAATAAACCTGAGTGTTAATCTGAGTATACATTACAGCCATCTGAGTAATGCATGGTTTATATTATTAAACCAGTGTCTTTGTGTATGTGATCTAACGTGGTTTACGCCACGAACAGCGCCAACGGTATACCGATGTAGACACAGACTACCACAATCTAACGTGGTTTACGCCACGAACAGCGCCAGTGGTATACCGATGTAGACACAGACTACCACAATCTAACGTGGTTTACGCCACGAACAGCGCCAGTGGTATACCGATGTAGACACAGACTACCACAATCTAACGTGGTTTACGCCACGAACAGCGCCAGTGGTATACCGATGTAGACACAGACTACCACAATCTAACGTGGTTTACGCCACGAACAGCGCCCAATGGTATACCGATGTAGACACGGACTACCACAATCTAACGTGGTTTACGCCACGAACAGCGCCAGTGGTATACCGATGTAGACACGGACTACCACAATCTAACGTGGTTTACGCCACGAACAGCGCCAGTGGTATACCGATGTAGACACAGACTACCACAATCTAACGTGGTTTACGCCACGAACAGCGCCAATGGTATACCGATGTAGACACGGACTACCACAATCTAACGTGGTTTACGCCACGAACAGCGCCAATGGTATACCGATGTAGACACAGACTACCACAATCTAACGTGGTTTACGCCACGAACAGCGCCAACGGTATACCGATGTAGACACAGACTACCACAATCTAACGTGGTTTACGCCACGAACAGCGCCAATGGTATACCGATGTAGACACGGACTACCACAATCTAACGTGGTTTACGCCACGAACAGCGCCAGTGGTATACCGATGTAGACACGGACTACCACAATCTAACGTGGTTTACGCCACGAACAGCGCCAGTGGTATACCGATGTAGACACAGACTACCACAATCTAACGTGGTTTACGCCACGAACAGCGCCAACGGTATACCGATGTAGACACAGACTACCACAATCTAACGTGGTTTACGCCACGAACAGCGCCAGTGGTATACCGATGTAGACACAGACTACCACAATCTAACGTGGTTTACGCCACGAACAGCGCCAACGGTATACCGATGTAGACACAGACTACCACAATCTAACGTGGTTTACGCCACGAACAGCGCCAACGGGTATACCGATGTAGACACAGACTACCACAATCTAACGTGGTTTACGCCGCCAACGAACATCGCCAGTTTGGTATACCGATGTAGACACAGACTACCACAATCTAACGTGGTTTACGCCACGAACAGCGCCAACGGTATACCGATGTAGACACAGACTACCACAATCTAACGTGGTTTACGCCACGAACAGCGCCAACGGTATACCGATGTAGACACAGACTACCACAATCTAACGTGGTTTACGCCACGAACAGCGCCAACGGTATACCGATGTAGACACGGACTACCACAATCTAACGTGGTTTACGCCACGAACAGCGCCAACGGTATACCGATGTAGACACGGACTACCACAATCTAACGTGGTTTACGCCACGAACAGCGCCAGTGGTATACCGATGTAGACACAGACTACCACAATCTAACGTGGTTTACGCCACG